TAACACAACCGGTAAAGGTAAAAATAGAAAAAATACGTTTCACCAAAAGCAGATCGCCGTATAAGTGTGTTAAATAATTTACAAATCATATGATTTTTTAGCGGTTTTAATTGAATATAACCAATCATAATGCACAAGTTCATATTTAATCATTCGATTATATGTAATACCTGGATATTTTATATTAAGATTGATGAAAACGATAGTAGGGATATTATGCTAAGGGGGCATTTCAAAAGTTCTTTCACTATAAAATTTTAAGAACATGTTTAAAGTTTAATAACTAAGATTTGTTAGTAGTTTTCTGGCAAGCAATTTTAGTATGTAAATTATAAAATAAAAGTTTGTGAGAATTCATGACATTATAATAGAAAGTTTAATTCTCTCAAAATTTACATTAAGTATTAAAAATCGGCTCAAATTTTACATTAAGTATCAATAATCGGCATTGCTTTTATTGGCTTTTTGAAGAAATATGTTTCGCCTTGTGGTTGAAAGATTTCCAATAGCCAAAAATTGATCATTCTTAAAAAAACTTCAACATTAACTGTATCAAATTCCGGAGTAATTTATTATAATGGTGGTTGTTCTAAATATTAAAGCCTCATTTATGATTGGGACAAATTTTTGTGAGAAAGCAAGTTATTAATTTAAGTTTTGCCAATTTCCGATTACTTTGTACTTAATAAGGTTACCACACATTATATTTTAATAAATACTTCAGCAAAGAATTTTCTATAACTTATAAAATTCCGTAAATAAAGCATAGAGAAGAAGCGAATCTCTTAATAAAATTTTAGTATTGAGATTACGGAACTTTTTTAAAGTTTGTTGCATAACATCTAAAAGATTTTGTTATCGTACGCACGTACGTATGAATGACGTAAATTAAACTAATTTATTAGGCAATTTGTATGAAGATTAAACTTGATGTTATCATGTGCAATTAATTCTACCATTTTTAGCTCTTCTATTCGGAATTGTGTAAGGATGCCTGATCATCGGGTTTATAACAAAGTTAAATGACTAAATTTGATTTCAATACATGTTAATGTAACTCATGAAATTAAATAGTAAATTTTAGGTTAAATATAGTTTGATAATGGTGTAATAGTTTTTAAGATCACGATTATTCATTCTCGACTTAATTGATTCAAATTTAATCTAGTGTAATTATTTCGGATTATTAGCTCCATTGATATAATTATTCGGTTAATATTTCTTACAAGTATGAAAGAGATAAAAGATTGTGACATTCCCAAATAAAAACATTCATTGAATCCTTGAACAACTGTACTAAGAAATCAAAAAGTATAAAAGTTACATATATTGCTTCATCCTGATGTTTAAACTTTACAATCAATAAAATATAAGAAAATAAAAATGAAAAAAAAAACACAAAGAAAATAGACCTACATAAACCTATATCGATCTATTCTACATTTCATGCCCAAATAATAAACTATTTTGTATTTTGATTTTTTAATATTCTTTTGTTAATTTGATCTGTTTTAATATTTGTTGTTGTTCCATTTTTCTTTATTTTTTTTCGATTTTTGTCTTTTTTTTTAATTTTTTTTGACTTTTCGTTTTTTTATTTTTTTTTTTTATTTTAGTCTACGATTTTTACCAAAAATTTTTCTTTTAAAAAAAAAAAAACACATCAGATGAGACAAATACTAACTGTATATTTTTTTATAAGATCTTCGAAGTCAAATCTAGGAATCACTGTTTGAATTTTTGATTTAAATGCCCGATAGACCCTATGTTTTTTGTTCATATAAAAAAAAAAGTTAATACCATGCAAAAATTATGATAGGCGCAGAAATATTGTAGTAACTTAGTTACAATAATATAAAAGTTATGCTAAACCGATTTTTAATATAAAACGTAATTTACAAGCGTCTAGTGATATAATATTTCTGCACCTATATACAGAGTTGGCATTGGACATATGTCCAATAATTTAAAAATATATTGGACATATAAAATTTTATATGTCCAATCGTTTTCAAAATCATTGGACATATGTCCAATGCCAACTCTGCCTATATACGTAGTAAATCGATTACGTTTCTTGTTACTTACCATCTGAATACTGTAACCTATGTGACAATTTGATTGAGTGATGTTCAGATCGTTTACTTGAAATTGCGGACCAATTAATTCATTAAATTCATTAAATTGCGGAACAATTAATTCAATAGGTTCATTAATGGAATGCCAGATATTTGATGTATATGTACATAAAGGTAATGGAAACGCAAGTCCAATTTCTTGATCGGACCTTCCATGGACTAATTAAATGATAAATACAATAATAATTTTAATAATTATAGCATAAAAAAACCCATGTTGCATATTTTAACTAAATACATACTAATTGGATTTGGATAAGCATCTCTTCCGTATAACATTATGCTTGTCGTTTCTTCTATCGCAAATGCTTCATCATTATATGTTTCATTATTTGGCCCGGACGGTTGTATATAATATGTTCCGGGCTCCTCAACAAGCTGATATGAATATATATTTTGTTGTGTCGTATTTGGGGAACTAGAAAAAACACTGAATACTGGATTTGGATAATAAAATTCCGAAAGAGGTGTATTATTAGGTAAAGAGTTTGAGCGTAGTGGCTCATTAAGCCTAGTTTCAGATTTGCTAGGCAATGTATTGGAACGTTGTAATTCAAGCATAAACTTTCGTTGCCTACGTTTTAGTTTATGCTTAGTACTAATTGTATATGATGATTCGTATCTATATGTTTTATCTTGAGGCAAATTATTAAAGATTTCTCTATTCAGACTATCTTTCATCATGGTTAAATATGCATGTTGCTGGCGTTTGAGTCTTTCCTTAATAATATATGACCTTTGCGTTTCATTTCTAAATATGTCTTGAGGTTTATTACTTGAATTTGATCGGTTTTGAGCTACTTTTTTCATGGTTTAATATAAAATAAAAAGCAAGACCAGAAAGGTAGGCAAAAGGAAAAGTGAAAGAGAAGGAATCTTTAATTTCTACTGTAGTAAAAGATTTACTTTATCCTTATTTAATTTTGTTGCTTTATTTACTCTTATTTAGATATATATACTTTAGTAGACGTTTTATATCTAGGAATAATTATTTTTGCATCATGATAAATAAATATCTGTGTACACAAAAATTTCGGGTTTGATAAAGTGTACTGCTAAACCAAACTGGCAATTATTGATAAGTAAATATAAAATTCGTAATTATATTTTCTCTCCATGACTAACTAACTGATCAAATACTTGCTTAAAGTTATTCAAACAAATACCCAAAACGTTCATTCGGTCTTTTACGTACGTAACATAAATACGATGTTTGATTTAATTATGGAAATTTCAATTGGCGGTTCTAGTTATTTCTCTAAACAAAGATAAGAAATCTTAAGCATTATTGTTTAGTTGTACTAAAGTGCGTGTAATTTTTAAAATAATTGCATATAGTGCAAATCATATATAATTATTTTTATTTTCGCGTATCACTTCATAGCAGGCTTTTTTTTTCAGTGCTGCGCATAAATACATATAATTTTAATGGTATAGCAAATTTGGACTGTCATCAACAAACTCCACACTGATTTTAGTTCCAACAGAACTCTCTAATTAATAATATAATATTTCGCGTAAAGCATTAGTACATGCAGTATTTGATATCATACCAGATACGGTGATGTATATAATATCATACGCGTAACTTTTTTTGGATACAGCTGATAATACCAAGATTCGATTTATTCCGATAACGCTTTATAGATAATCTAAACATTCCAATTTCTAATCCCGTTATTCCGTTGTTCCGCAATTCCGTTTATACCTCATTCATATTACCTTTTAAGAAGTATTAAGAAATATACAATTTTATATAAATTAAAAAAAAATGTTATTATTAATAATGAATCACGTATTTGCTTTTAAATTTATGCATGTAAACACTTTTTGATTGGATGATAAACTTTATATTTTTTTAAAAAAAGAAATTCCTAATTTAAATAGGTAATTTCCATAAATGTTCCTCATAGATATACAATGGATAAATAACTTGTAACTTGTAAGAATGTGAAATAAACAATTCCTAATACTATAATCCTTAAATTCTATAAATGTGAAAAAGGCGCCATTTGATAAACGGTTTATTTCCTCTTGCAGAATTTTGTTTAACGGCTGTTTTTACAACCGTTTTTCGAAAAAAGCTTTTATCACTATTTAATGGGAAATTCAAAATTCAGGTTATTTCATTCTACGTAATTGGATTTTAATTTTACTAATCTAAATTTTCTTAAAGAATAAAATATTTATTATGTTATAGTTTAATATGAAATGAAAGTCTTTTACTATTGGTAAAAACAAGTGGTCTTTTTCTATTGCAATTTTTGCAAGATCTACTGTAAGTCTCGTTCAATTACTATTGATGCTAATAAAGTTTTTTATTTTGTAGTACAGAACCGAATGGACTTTTAATGATGACCCACTCGGATATGAATATGTTGTGTAATGCTGGTTTTATGTTGTAAAACTAGATCATATCTGGTTTTGGATTACCGTAAATTGTATTATCTATATATTATTTAGAAATCAATCGATCGCAAAAATCCCTCACTTTTAAATGTAAATTTCCATATGTCAATTTTATGATAGATATACAATGCTCATTTCTAAATCCTGTCGATCGAAGAATTTCATTGACGTTAAAAATTAATTTACAGGGCACCCTTGATTATTGCAGGTTGATAGCGCAGTTATAACTAGGAAAATGCGTAGTATTGTTGGATTCGGAGTACATATACGTAATATGATGATCATCTCATTACACAAACGCGTGTGTATGCATATTTAGTTATACTAAATTAGCAAATTTGAACACGCGTGTGACAGGCAAATTTTTTCAAATTACGTTTCTGACGTGATCTTCATAATGTTTATGCAAATGCATCAAAAAAGCAACTTTTGGGAAGAAGTGCATCAAAAACTTAATTTTTTTATCACTTAATGCATAGAAATCGAGGATCCTCCACATCAATTGATGAACTCGTGATGATCTGCAATAGTTTTATTGTTCAAAAAACAAACCGCGAATTGCCTATGTAAAAAATAACTTTTGACATTACCGCATTAGATTAAGATATTGATACATTAAATATGGCATATTTCTATAATGCCATAAAAATACAAGACAAAATCTAATTTCAATTAAGACCGAAATTGGAACTTTTAATGTAATTCTCCATTATATGTAAAACGGTTTATCTAACAAATTCATTTTATTTATCTGGATAGTTTTGCTTTAAATACAGAAATAAATGACATGTATGTATCTACCGAATAAACTTGTGGCATTGTCATTATATACAGTCACTTTCAATAAACTTATTCCAGAAGGATAATTTATACTTCTAATTGTCGAATAATTAACGACTCTACCGTGTATTTAAAAACTTTGTTATTCGAATTCACTCACTTGGCACTTTACGATGGCTAATGTATTGTTTAGGTATTTCGACCTAAAGGAATGCCACGTGCAAACACACATTTATGGTTTTAAAGTGTTATTTTTATTCAAGTTCTAAGACTACTGAAACCTAAAATTCTAAATTGCTGTTCTACTTATACGTTATTATATGATGATCGATCACACGATTCGCAATTCGTGCAACGCGTAAGTTACACAAACCCGATCCTGATCCCGTGCTACCAAACCACGTGTTATTCAAATCTACATGGACCCCAGGACTTCGTCCCCGAAATCTTGGCCCTGCAATTCAAGTTGCTCAACTCAACACAACCTAAATTATTACAACTCATAAATAAACCGATTTACCAACACTATTAAACACCAATGATTGCCCTGCACTAACATACACAATTTTATTTCAATTTGCATCACGATACCTCATAACTCCGTACATCCATCCTCGTAAGTTTTCGCAAATCAGGTAGGTTTCCAAACACTACATTCATCAATCAATCACATCTGATTATATGATCCAACTACAATCATTTAAGAATTCAATTTTCTTACCATTATACAATGTAACATGATTATAGTTTATCTTTTGACCTTAATCGTCATAACACCATACATCTGATTATTGATCCATGCCGATTAAATTTTTACAGCTAGGCTAAGCTATTATATTTATAATGGCTTAGTGGCTTAGTCAATAATATTTGTTATACTGAAACATAAGATCTTTATATTTGTGATCCAAGCCGATTAAATTTTAAGCATTATATTTTTAATGGCTTAGCTTAGCGGCTTAGTCAATAATGTTTGTTATACTGAAGCATAAGATGTTTATATTTGTGATCCAAGCCGATTAAATTTTAAGCCATTATATTTTCAATGGCTTAGCGCTTAGCCAATAATCTTGTTATATTGAATCATTTCATGTAAATATTGTATGATATATATTAAATAACTTCATTCAATTAGAAATAAGTAGCTTTATATTCGATTTACTTTAAATATTCTGACTGTTTTTATACTATAGAATTTTAAATTACAAATTAAACTAAGTATTCAATTGAATATATATTTGTCACCTACTTATATATGTTATACATTAAATTGAACTTTGTGTCATATCAAAATTTTAATACTGAATTTAATTAGGGTTAGGTAAAACTCTATGTTAAGATAAGGTTAGTTATTAATGGTATTATAATTAATTATTTTAATCTAATAGAAAAATTTTAACTCGACGTATAACAAATTTAAGTATGGTAATATATGTTTTTTTATACTATATAAATATTAGTTATACAACTTTGAATTTTGTAATTAATATCAGTAGCCGTTATTAGCAGGCTAATTAGACTTTCAGCTACCTAAGCGACTAACTTAATCGGTTTGGAACACTAGTCTATATCTTGTTAATATAGTATGATGTAAATCAAATAACTACATTCAATTATAATTAAATAACTTTTTGGATTCAGAGTTTACTTTATTTAGAGTCGTTTATGTTATAGAATTTAAAATTTCAAATTAAATTCTTGGAAACAGATAAGCATTCAATCAAATAGAGAGGTAATACCAAAGTTTATATACTGTATGTAATATATCAAATTTCAATATTATGCACCTTTCAAATCATCTTTCAAATCAAACTCAGCATTTTTCAATTCATATCATAAGAATAAAAAAAATACTTTACAACAAATCTACAACTTAAACATCAAGTTAAAATTTTTATAGATTTATATATTTTTTATTTATTTACAGTATAATTGAAATTTGAATATTGTATACATATACAGTTAACTTTGGATATACCAAATTGCATATTTTAAACCATTTTTTTAGTATAGAGAAAATCTATTATATAATTTACTTTCTCTATTTACTTTCTCTATATTAAACTGTTAGGTATATAAATCTAACCAATAAAATCTATCATAAAACCGGCTTTATTAAGAAAATTTCAGAATTTTCTTGAGATTTTGTCTCAGACTTTCTTGCTTTTATTTTATCCTTTTTCTTTTTGGAATATTTCTGATCTCATTACTTCGTAGACATGCATATATAATAGTTTGCTATATCAAGATATGTACACATAGTCTTGGGGTGTTCTCAAGCGTCTCAATTAATGGGTCAAAGTATGTCAGGAATTAAATTTTAATTAACAGAAAGCATTTTTAATTGCTTGTCATTAAGATAAGTAAGGTAGTTTATTATATGAAGGAAAAATTTAAATAGTAAAAAATGAACAGTGAGTTTGCCATTTCAAAAACTTTTTTTCCCTGAACATCTTTTTTTCTGCGCTGACTTATCAAACCTTTATAAATATTAAAGTTAATAAAGCATAGTTCAAGTATTTTCATGCTTTTGTTATAGATTTTCGTAATAGACACATATTTTTTAAAAATTCTCAATAAATCACCTCCTTATATATTACGCAGTTGGCGTCACTATGTTT